TGGGTGTATCACCTGAGGTCAGGAGTTCAAGACTAGCCTGGCCAACATGGTGAAACCCCGTCTCTACTAAAAATACAGAGAAATTAGCTGGGCATGGTGGAAGGTGCCTGTAATCCCAGCAACTTGGGAGGCTGAGGCAGGAGAATCGCATGAACTCGGGAGGCAGAGGTTGCAGTGAAATCTTGCCATTTCACTCCAGCCTGGGCAACAAGAGCAAAACTCTGTCTCAAAAAAAAAAAAGTAAAGAAAAAAAAAAAAGTAAAGAAAGATGTTGACACTCTTCTTCAGAACTGAGGCCAGCAAGCTTTTCCTATAAATGGCCATATAATAAGTATTTTTTGGCTTTTTGGGCCATATGGTCTCTGTCTCAACTACTCAACTGTGCCTTTGTAGTTCAAGAGCAGCCATAGACGATGTGTAAATGAATGGGTCTGGCTGCATTCCAGGCAAAAACAGTTGGCAGGCTAGATTTGACCTGTAGGCCTTTGCTAGCCTTCCCTCCCCCTACAAATACAGGAGTAGGAACAGACTTCTGATAGGGTGGCACAGGGAAAATGGTGAACTCAGCTTTTTTTTTTTTTTTTTTTTTGAGACGGAGTTTCGCTCTTGTTACCCAGGCTGGAGTGCAATGGCGCAATCTCGGCTCACCGCAACCTCCGCCTCCTGGGCTCAGGCAATTCTCCTGCCTCAGCCTCCTGAGTAGCTGGGATTACAGGCACACGCCACCATGCCCAGCTAATTTTTTGCACCTTTAGTAGAGACGGGGTTTCACCATGTTGACCAGGATGGTCTCGATCTCTCGACCTCGTGATCCACCCGCCTCGGCCTCCCAAAGTGCTGGGATTACAGGCTTGAGCCACCGCGCCCGGCCTGAACTCAGCTTTATACTAAGTTGACAGATCGACTGTGGAACCTTCTGGTAGATTCTTCACAGGCAGTTAGCCTTTGAGTCTGCAGACTGGGAAAAAATCCAGTTGATAGATTGAAGATTCATTCATGTGGAAGGGAAGTTTGAAGTAGATGTTTTTGTGGTACTCCCGGGGTAAGGCCATGCTGGGAATGAATTAGAGTAAATTTAGGGCCAGGGACTAAACCCAGAGGATCCAACAGTTAAGGAAGGACCTGTGGATAGAGAAGAAATAACCAGAAAAGTGTGAGGCCTGCCTTTAAGGGAGAGAGACTCATGTCCTGGAAGCTAAGAAAAACAAGTTTCTAAAAGAACAATGTGGTCATCAATATCAAATATGTCAGGTAAAACAAGAGCTGAAATGTATGCGTCGAATTTGAAAGTAAGGCTGCCATTGGTGAACCAAATGACAATGATTTAAATGGAATGATGGGGCAGAAACTTGAGTGTAGTGGGCTGGGGAGTCAATAGATGACGAGAATTATAAGCAAGACGTACAGGCTCCTTTTCTTCCCCTTCCCCTTCCCTTTCCCCTTCCCCTTCCCCATTCCTTCCTTTCCTTTCCTTTCCTTTTTCCTTTCTTTTCTTTTTTTTGAGATGGAGTCTCACTCTGTCTCCCAGGTTGGAGTGCAGTGGCACGATGTTGGCTCACTGCAACCTCCACCTCCTGGGTTCCAGCGATTCTCCTGCCTCAGCCTCCCGAGTAGCTGCAACTACAGGTGCGTGCCACCGTGCCCAGCTAATTTTTGTATTTTTAGTAGAGACAGGGTTTCACCATATTGGCCAGGCTGGTCTTGAACACCTGACCTCGTGATCCACCCACCTAAGCTTCCCCAAGTGCTGGTATTACTGGCGTGAGCCACCGCGCCTGGCTCACTCCTTCCTTGCTTCCCTTTTTTCCTTCCCTCCCTCTCTCCCTCCCTCCCTTCCTTTCTGGAATGAAAAGGAGTAGCTAAAAGGGGATTTAAGGTAAGAAGAAGGGTTTTTTTTTATTATTTTTATTTTTATTTTTTGGTTTTGTTTAGGTTTGTTTTTAAAATACCGTTTTTTGGGAGAGGCTTAAGAATATAAACATGTTTGGGGAAAGGTACTAATGGGGAAGTGGAAGATGGAGAATTGAGGTAATAGGTGGGACAGCATTTTGAAGGAGATGGCTGGGAGTTACCTGGAAGCCCAGGAGTTCACTAGACCTGAGCAGCAGCTATTTTTTCTTTTTTGCCCTTAGACTGAACAAGAGACCCTTCTGCTGAGCACGGTCTGTGCTCCCACCCAGGAACACCCTCTGCCCAATGACAGCACCTTCTTGGGAAGCATCTTGACAGCAGTGGTAGCTGAAGGTTAAAGGTCCTGGGATTTGGGGGTGGGAAAGTTGTGACTGTTGTCAATATCTTCAGCTGTTGAAGATGCCCATCAGTAGGCTTCTCTGTCTTTCCCTGGCTTCCATTATGGTAGACCCCTGACTGGGTCACCAGAGGGGCCCTCTCCCATGGTTGGTTTTTCTCGTAGAGCCGGAATCAGCTCCTGTGCCCTTGCTTGGAAGTTATAAGAGTGCTTTCACCCGAGTAGCATCAATGGTTTCCCTTCAGCCTGCAGGTTAGGAGTGGCTCCGGGGATCCTGCCTCATTTCTAGAAAATCTGGTGGTGATGAGTAAAGATGAAAGCAGTGAGAAGTGCTTTGCTCTAAAAACCTCAATTCTACTTGGGCTCATTTTATTTCTGCCTTCTGGGATCTGTAATGTTCCAGACATACAAATCCTGTGGGTGGGGAACACGGATAAGAGTTGTAGAAATGATGGCTATACACTCCTTCCTTCCAGGGCTGGAAGGCTACATCTCTATCTGGGACTTTCTCTTTCAGAGACCCCGGGCATGGAGGAGAGCCTGGCAGAAATGAGTATTATGACTACTGAGCTTCAGAGTCTTTGTTCCCTGCTACAAGAGTCTAAAGAAGAAGCCATCAGGACTCTGCAGCGAAAAATGTGAGTGGGATGCAGCTTTGGTGACAGAGGGACAGTGACAAAGCCTCTTATGCATGCCAAGGGTCCAGCTGGCCCCTGAGAGGACAGGAATGTTGCTGAATTCTTCCCTCCTCCAGTTGTGAGCTGCAGGCCAGGCTGCAGGCCGAGGAAGAGCAGTATCAGGAAGCCCAGAAGGCAAAGGAAGCAGACATAGAGAAGCTGAACCAGGCCTTGTGCTTGCGCTACAAGGTGACGGAGGGACCTAGAAGTGGGGCGATGAAGAACTGGGGCAGCTCTACTGGCCTACTGGGACCCATTATCTCTCCAGGAATCTGGGTGGTAGGGATTTTCCAACCACTGCCCTAGTTTTGCCCTTCCTGGGGTCAGACATTTCACACATCAGCTATGGGCTGACCTACCTTCCCAGGCAGACCCAGGAGAAAAGTCAGGAACTCTAGCAGAACTCTCCCAACACTGAAATGTGCCTTGCCTGACTTGGCCCTGGAGGAAGAATTGGAGTGATACCATTTGGTCTCATGTGGGCTCAGCATGGGTCAGGCACTCTCTCCTATCTCCTGGCAAAGGCTCTGAAGAAACCAGCTCTCCCTGTGTCTTCTCACCTTCCTTTCCCTCACAGAATGAAAAGGAACTCCAGGAAGTGATACAGCAGCAGAATGAGAAGATCCTAGAACAGATAGACAAGAGTGGCGAGCTCATAGTATGTTCATCATGACCAGGCCTTTGCCTTCTGTGTTACTGGTAGCCAGGATCCCAAATATGAGAAGTGGATTCCTGGTTTACCTATGTTCACCACATGTTGTCTGTCCTTCTTATGTCCTATTGGACACCTCTCCATTCTCATTCCCAGAGCCTTAGAGAGGAGGTGACTCACCTTACCCGCTCACTTCGGCGTGCGGAGACAGAGACCAAAGTGCTCCAAGAGGCCCTGGCAGGCCAGCTGGACTCCAACTGCCAGCCCATGGCCACCAGTTGGATCCAGGAGAAAGTGTGGCTCTCTCAGGAGGTAACTCAGAGTTAACAGAGGAGCTGGGCAGCAGGTGGGAACCCCAGGCTGTACCCCTGTTGATCTGGACATATTTCTAGGTGGACAAACTAAGAGTGATGTTCTTGGAGATGAAAAATGAGAAGGAAAAACTCATGATCAAGTTCCAGAGCCATGTAAGAATGTCCATGCCATTCCAGGGCTATTTCCTACCTTTGTTAACAAATGCCCTGCCATGTTTCCCCTGTCCTACCAAGCTTTTCTTGTTCTTTTAAGCATAGGACTTATGAAATCTGTTTGCTTTCTAGAGAAATATCCTAGAGGAGAATCTTCGGCGCTCTGACAAGGAATTAGAAAAACTAGATGACATTGTTCAGCATATTTATAAGGTATAGGAACAAGGGAGATGATACAACTAAGCCACCTGGTACAAGGCCTGGCCCCAGGAGGTACTGATGAGCACAGCTCTGGTTCCCAGCCTGTGCTGAGAGCTGGGCCTGAATCACTATTGCTGGGTTCTCTGTGGTGTCTGTTTTCTCTCCTCTAATTCAGTGGCTGCCTCCTGGGGCTGGGAGCCTTGGGCCTTAGGCCTGTGATCCTGAGTTGCTTTTTCTGCCTCTCTTCCCAGACCCTGCTCTCTATTCCAGAGGTGGTGAGGGGATGCAAAGAGCTACAGGAATTGCTGGAATTCCTGAGCTAAGAAACTGAAAGCCAGAATCTGCTTCACCCCTTTTTACCTGCAATACCTCCTTACCCCAATACCAAGACCAACTGGCATAGAGCCAGCTGAGTTTAATACTATTTAAATAAAGTGTATTTAATGGATTTCTCCAAGCTTACTGAATCTTATTTTTTGGGTGAGATGGGGCAGATTAAGTCAGGGAAGAGCAGCTTGGCCCTCCTGCCCGGGCATCCTCCACAGATCCCTCTCCACCTCCTGCTGCCTCCAAAGTCAAGGCTGCCTGCCCTTCCTCCCTTCCCTTGCTTTCTTTAAAACTCTGGGCACCGGACCGCGTGTTCCCTGGCTCACTGCCTGGGGGAAACAGAATGGCTTCATTCTGTTACTTTCCCCAGCCCCCTCAGGGGTATGCCCTGGCAAATAGGGTGAGGACAGAGAAGCTCAGTTCATTACTTCCTGCCCTGAACTTGGCCACCTTGATGATGCCTCTGCCCCACCTACCCAACCTGTTGTTAATGTTTCGGTGCCTCCTCTTCACCAGACCAATCTTAATCCCCAACATCCAGCAAGTGCCCAGCACGTGTTAAAGGAATTGTGGCAGAAATGAATGCAAGGTCATTTCCAGCCTCTCGGGCCCTAGTGGCGAGGCCCCACGAAGTGGAAGGGCAGTCCCTAACAGCCGCAGATGACTGGCGGGACACTCACTCCACCTCGCCGCCCCGCCTCCGTGGGCGTGGTCTTGCTCCGGACACCAGTCCCGGGGAGGGGCGTGGCCAGGGCGGGGCAGGCAGGCCCCGCCCCCGGAGGAGTCACGTAGCTCTGCGGCATCCGCAGCCTCATTTACCAGAGCAAGCCAGGGCTGCAGCCACATCTGTTTGCTGATCAGAACCCGAGCGGTGCTTGTGGCTGCCGCTGCTAACTGGCTGCGCACAGGTAAGGCCAGGCGAGGCGGGAGCCGCTCAGCATCTCCGCTTCGTCTCCTTGGCTCTTCTGCCATCTTCATCCTGCTCCCTGGGGCTCCTGGACCTGCCCTTTCGACTCTTTCCTGACATCTTTGCTCCTTTCCGCGCACCTGAAACCCCGTGGCTCAACCTCTCCCATTCTATCCCACCTCAACTCTCCCACCTGGACCTCAGCTTTTCCAATCCCAAATCCTCTACTTGTTGAATTTTTCCTTGGAGTCTGCCTTTCCTACCCAGAGCATTTCCTTCTCTGCCTGCTCCCTCTCCTCCTAGGCTAGGTCCTCTCTCCATTTCTCCCGCCTTCTCTACCCCCGATCTAGGTCTCTCACTGACTGTTTAGCCTGCGTCACCATTACCTCCCCTCAGTCTTCTCTCTCTCTCAGGCTCTCTACTCCTTTCAGTCTTGGTCCTCTGCCCTCCCGTCTGGGTGTCTGAGTGTGGGGAATTGAAGTGCTTGCTATTGCTATCCCTCCCTCCCCAGAGAGGGACGGAGATGACCTGGAGGTGTCACTAACCCTTGTCTCCACACTAACGCAGCTGACCTACTGGCCGTCTTTCCTACAACACTGCAGCCTCACTGGGGCCAACCTCCGGTACTGGGTGGGAGTAGGCAATAGGCATCGGCAGGCAGGTTTGGAGTACAGAGAAGAAGCTGCGGCCACTCCTACTCCCTAGCTGTTCTTCCTCCCAACCTTTTCCTCTAGCAGCTGAGAGAAGAGGGTGGCAATAAGTACTTCTGCCTCATTCGGAAGCCTTGGAAGTAAGTACGCTTTCCCTAGGGCTCCTGTGGAGGATGAGAAAAGGGAAGCTGGAAAGGCCAGGGCTTCTGCCTACTTCAACAAGGGACCAAGTTCAGTGAAAGGAGGGTTGGCATCCTCGAATGGGCAGCAGATTCATCAAAAGACCTGTGGCTTTGGGGCTGCTCACCTCCCCACCCCCACCCTGCATCTTTCCCCAGGGCTGGGAAGGGTGCCCACCAGGGACAAAAGGAGATGTGGGATCTGGAGCCCTAAGCTTGCTAGCTGTCAGAGGGATTGGTGCCACTTTGATGCCCAGGACTCACGCCAAGGACTGCTGCCCTGTTCCCAGCCCCATGTTTGATGGGGGAGGCCATTTGGTCCATCTGGCCAGGAGAGGCAGTGGAGGAGGTAGTGGATGAGGTCTGGCTTTTTTATCTTGTCTCCACTCCAGGGAGCTGTCACCATGCCTCACTCATACCCAGCCCTTTCTGCTGAGCAGAAGAAGGAGTTGTCTGACATTGCCCTCCGGATTGTAGCTCCGGGCAAAGGGATTCTGGCTGCAGATGAGTCTGTAGGTAGGTGGACATCTGTAGCCAGGTAGGGTACAGGTGGCTAGGGGACCCTGGAGATGTTTTCGCTGCCTCTCTTTGTTTGCCCCCAGGCAGCATGGCAAAGCGGCTGAGCCAAATTGGGGTGGAGAACACAGAGGAGAATCGCCGGCTGTACCGCCAGGTCCTGTTCAGTGCTGACGACCGTGTGAAAAAGTGCATTGGAGGTGTCATTTTCTTCCATGAGACTCTCTACCAGAAAGATGACAACGGTGTTCCCTTCGTCCGAACAATCCAGGATAAGGGCATCGTCGTGGGCATCAAGGTGCAGCCCCCAACCCTGCTCTGAATGGAAGCTGGGCGAGAAAATAGGCTTGTGTAGGAGGGGTAGCGAGGGGAATCCTGCCTGGATTCAACCCTCTGTGCTTTCCCTATAGGTGGACAAGGGTGTGGTGCCTCTAGCTGGGACTGACGGAGAAACCACCACTCAAGGTATAGGGTGGGTGGGCTTGAGGACCGAAGAGGTGTTAGATAGTTGATGCTGGTAAAGAAGGGCAGAGTGATGAGGTTGGCACTGTGCTTGCAGGGCTGGATGGGCTCTCAGAACGCTGTGCCCAGTACAAGAAGGATGGTGCTGACTTTGCCAAGTGGCGCTGTGTGCTGAAAATCAGTGAGCGCACGCCCTCTGCACTTGCCATTCTGGAGAATGCCAATGTGCTGGCCCGTTATGCCAGTATCTGCCAGCAGGTGTGTGTTGGAAGGGTGGTCAGCTAGGTGCCCTGTGTGCCTGGTGGGGAGAGAGTTACAGGGCTTTCTCTATCTCCCCTACTGCCCCTCCCAAGCATCTCTGCTCTTGCCTGCAGAATGGCATTGTGCCTATTGTGGAACCTGAAATACTGCCTGATGGAGACCACGACCTCAAACGTTGTCAGTATGTTACAGAGAAGGTAAGTTCACACAAAAACATACTGCAGGAACAGGTCGGCAGAAGCGCCTGTTCTCTGGCGCCCCCAGCTTAGATCCAGGCATACTTTCTCCTAGTACTTTTTCGCTTGATTCTGGCACAGGCTTGTGATCTGAGCCTGCATTGAGCCCTCACAGTCCGTGCCCATCTACCCCTAGATAGGGAGCATTGTGCAGTAACCAGTGGGGGCCCAGACCCTTAGTAAACCTCTTCTAATCCCCACCCAGGTCTTGGCTGCTGTGTACAAAGCCCTGAGTGACCATCATGTGTACCTGGAGGGGACCCTGCTCAAGCCCAACATGGTGACCCCTGGCCATGCCTGTCCCATCAAGTATACCCCAGAGGAGATTGCCATGGCAACTGTCACTGCCCTGCGTCGCACTGTGCCCCCAGCTGTCCCAGGTACTACCCACCTCCTTCACCTGCTCCTATCCCTAAGGCCCATCTTCAGGTTCTTCTTGTGGCCTTCAGGGATTCCCTACCTGGGAAAAATTGGGAGTGACCAGTCAGTTTGTTTCTCTCCTCGACCCTAGGAGTAACCTTCCTGTCTGGGGGCCAGAGCGAAGAGGAGGCATCACTTAACCTCAATGCCATCAACCGCTGCCCCCTTCCCCGGCCCTGGGCGCTTACCTTCTCCTATGGGCGTGCCCTGCAAGCCTCTGCACTCAATGCCTGGCGAGGGCAACAGGACAATGCTGGAGCCGCCACTGAGGAGTTCATCAAGCGGGCCGAGGTTGGGAGCTAGAGGGTGGTGGGTGGTGGACAGCACCCAGAGACTATAGCCTGGGCAAGGCTTGGCACCTGTGGGCTGGCTCAGCCTGCTTACTCTACACTCCCTTTTGCAGGTGAATGGGCTTGCAGCCCAGGGCAAGTATGAAGGCAGTGGAGAAGATGGTGGAGCAGCAGCACAGTCCCTCTACATTGCCAACCATGCCTACTGAGTATCCACTCCATCCCACAGCCCTTGGCCCCGCCATATGTGCTCACTTTTGCTTGTAGTCATGGCCAAGGCCAAATAGCTATGCAGAGCAGAGATGCCTTCATCTGGCACCGGCTTGTCTTCCTTTTCTCTCCTCCCTTCCCCTCCCTCATTGCTGCACCTGGGATCATAGGATGGGAGGATAGGGTGCTCCTCATGACTGAGGGCAGAAGAAATTGCTAGAAGTCACAGCAAGATGGCTGAGTCTCCCCCTAATTCTGCCAGATCTCACAATTTTCCCGTGATGGGGTAGCTTCTCCTTGGGTTCTCCTTCTTGCCTGCCCTCTCTCCTGGGATCAGGGGGTAGTACAGAAGCCCTGACTCATGCCTTGAGTACATACTATACAGCAAATAAATGGTAGCAAAACGTGCTACTTTGCCTGTCTGTTTTACATATCGAATTCCCACCTCCCAGTTTCTGATCTCTGCTAATTCTATCTTTGGGCACTCTGACTCTGGGGGTGGAGAGGGTGGGATGTGAGTTTTACTGGGCTTCGAGTTTATGGAGGAAGGGCACATGCAGTTACCATCCCCAGCTCAGGCTCTTGCTCTCTTGATGTCCAGGTCTGGAGTGGGGCAATGAGGAAGACTGCAAGTCTTCTAGGCACTGCCACATCAGTGGCACTAGGCTGAAGCTACAGAAGGATGGAGTGAGGCCAGACCGGCAACTCCTTAAGGCAGATTTGTGCAAGGCTCAAGGCAGGGAGGCAGCAGGACAGGATGGGATAAGAGTGGGTGGGAGTCTCTCCTATCTTCCAGTGTTGAGCCCAGCTGGCCCCTGACACATTCCGCTAGGGGGAGCCACACCAGGAAGGGCGAGGGAGCACTTGGACTCCGGCCCAAAGAGGGAAACTCCGAAGGCTCTGCGGGATGCCAGGGCTGAGCAGGGCATCTAGGAGGCTGCCAAGGGCTATGGCCCATTCTCATTTGGGGTAGAAGTGTGTACAAGGGGGGCAATTTGAGGGTCTGGGTAACGACAGCTCTGATGAGGCCTCGTGCTGAACTTTGACCACTGGTGGGGTGTGAGATAGGCTGAGAACCTGGGTCTACCTAAGCAGATAAAAAGATGAGATAAAAAGCTGTGTTAGTTCTGTGTCAGCTGGGGAGGCTACAAATGCTCCACCCTGTGTGACCTGACCTTATAATAACAAAAATAGCTTGCACAAAGCACCAACCCTGCTCTAATCACTTTATATGTATTCACGCATTTCATACAACTCTATAAAGTAGGTACTATTACTATCCTCCCTATTTTAATAGAGAAAACAGACCAAGAAAGACACAGAGGGATCCTCTCAAGATCACTCACCTAATAAGTGATGAAGCCAGGATTTGAACCGCAATGATCAGGATCCAGAGTTTTGGCTCATAAATTTTCAAGATTTTGAAGTGAAGTATCCTGAGTTTTCCAAGTTGGAAATGAATTAAAATGAATTTTAAAATAGCGAGAGAGCCAATCATGCTAAAACGTACTAGCTTGCTACCTCCATGTTTGAGGCTTGAGGAGAGGGCGCCCCAAGAGGAGCTCTACGATAAGAATGATAAAACCGTGACAGCTGACCTTTGAGGGCTTTCCGTGTGCCAGGCTCCTTACAAGAACGGCCTCATTTAAGTAAATATCTCCATTTTCACAGGAGACAATTGAGCCTCGGAGCTGCCAGCTATTATTTAACTACTGCAGAGGTTGCACTCTTAATCGCGGGGCTAGGAGTGTGTTCTATAGGAAAGCGGGGGACTTCGTTCTAGCAGTGCCGAAACCTGCACAGCCCCTCGACCGCCCCTCGGCGTCAGGGTGACCTCCTTTCAGACCTCCAGCAGAGCTCCCCGCGGAGCCTGCCCATCCCTTGCCGGCTTGCTCCCGCCTGCGGGTCTGGAGTGCCGCTCTCGATTGGCCCCGATCACCGCTGCGGTACCGCCCCCTCATTGAGGAGATTCCGATTGGGTGAGGGTCACGAAGTTCCGCCCCCGGCGGCCGGAGCAGCCGGAAGCCAGCATGGCGGCTGCCGGGGCTGCGGCTACAGACCTAGGTGCGGTGGGCTTCGGGTGGCAGCTTGCAGCTCGCGGATGCCAAGGGAGGAATGCAGGGGTGGGGATTGTGGTGTGCGAGAGGTCCCGCGGACGGGGGGCTCGGGGGATCTTTTCAGATGGGATTGCCTTCAGGCTTGGGCCGGGTCCATTCGCACCGGGATCCCAATGAACGCTGGTCCCTGGATGCGGGTGGTCGGGGCTTCACGTCGGGGAAGGGGCCGGCATCCTAGCAGGTTTCCAGCGCCTCGGTCTGTTCCCTATGCCCTCAGAGGTGGTCCGGGGCAAGCGCGCCGCCCTCTTCTTCGCTGCGGTGGCCATCCTGCTGGGACTGCCGCTCTGGTGGAAGACCACAGAGACCTACCGGGCCTCGTTGCCTTACTCCCAGATCAGTGGGTTGAATGCCCTGCAGGTGAGACTGCCGTGGGGGACAGTCGGGGGACAGCCCGCTGGCGAGGTGGACACTCAGTGATGGCCCTGATGCCCCTTCCTGCAGCTCCGCCTCATGGTGCCTGTCACTGTCGTGTTTACGCGGGAGTCAGTGCCCCTGGACGACCAGGAGAAGCTGCCCTTCACCGTTGTGCATGAAAGAGAGATTCCTCTGAAATGTGAGTTCCTGAGGGTCAGGGATGCCTTTCACGTCTGAGCTCACTCCAGAGCTGAGTTGGGTGGGAGGAGCGTGGGTGTACCATAAAGGCAGTTAAAAACTTACTACTAAAAGACCTCTCTGAATGAACAGTGTGTTTGGTAAAAAACAAAACAAAACAAAACAAAAACAAAAAAAAAAAACCTACCTTTAAATTCACTGTCATTAAATAGCAATTTTACTCATAATGTAGACTACCTAATCGGAAGCAACTGATGCCCATCAGGGTATAGGGGAGGAGGTGGAATATAGTGGAAAGAACACAGAGTTTGAAATTAAATTGGGTTTGCATATAGGCCCTATTCAGTTTTTATTTATTTATTATTTTTTGAGAGGGAGTCTAGCTCTGTTGCCCAGGCGGGAGTTCAGTGGCGCGATCTCAGCTCACTGCAACCTTGCCTCCGGGGTTCAAGCAATTCTCCTGCCTCAGCCACCCGAGTAGCTGGGATTACAGGCATGCACCACCACGCCCAGCTAATTTTTGTATTTGACCATGTTGGCCTGGCTGGTCTCGAACTCCTGACCTCAGGTGATGCTCCTGCCTTGGCATCCCAAAGTGCTGGGATTACATGTGTTAGCCACCACACCCAAACCCTATTCAGTTTAATAATAAACACTTTACTGAGGTACTTTTTTTTTTTTTTGGGGATGGAGTATTGCTCTGTTGCCCAGGCTGGAGTGCAGTGGTGCGATCTTGGCTCACTGCAACCTCCGCCTCCTGGGTTCAAGTGATTCTCATCCCTCAGCCTCCTGAGTAGCTGGAACTATAGGCGCACTCCACCATCCCCAACCAATTTTTGTATGTTTATTTAATAGAGACTGGGTTTCACCATGGTGGCCGGGATGGTCTTGATCTCTTGATCTTGTGATCTGCCCACCTTAGCCTTCCAAAGTGCTGAGATTACAGGCCTGAGCCACCGCGTCTGGCTACTGAGGTACTTTTTTTAGTTACCGGGAATTTGGGAATGAATAAGAAATTGATAATGGTTTCAAGACATTCATAGGTAGGTGAGAAAGAAAATAAATTGCAGTAGAAGTATGCAAAAAACAGGGGTCGCACTTAATAAAGAGTATTAACCATCTGAGAGGAAAGAAAGGCAGAGAAAATTTTGAGAGATGTAGATTTTAAGTCAGATTTTTTTTTTTTTTTTTTTTTTGAGACAGAGTTTTGCTCGTTACCCAGGCTGGAGTGCAATGGCGCGATCTCGGCTCACCGCAACCTCCGCCTCCTGGGTTCAGGCAATTCTCCTGCCTCAGCCTCCTGAGTAGCTGGGATTACAGGCACGCGCCACCATGCCCAGCTAATTTTTTTATTTTTAGTAGAGACGGGGTTTCACCATGTTGACCAGGATGGTCTCGATCTCTTGACCTCGTGATCCACCCGCCTCGGCCTCCCAAAGTGCTAGGATTACAGGCTTGAGCCACCACGCCTGGCTTTAAGTCAGATTTTTAAAGGATGTGTAGGAATTCAGGTTAAATGGGAAAGGGAGAGGGAGAATTTCAGGCAGAGTGAATAGCATGAGACAGTATAAGGATAGCTAATAGTTGTTGCTCGCTGTGTGCCAAAAACTAGGTAAAGCACTTTATACATGTTGCCTGATTTGATCCTTTCTAATCATATGATCACCATTTTATAAATGAAGACACTGAGGCTTCGAGAATTTAACTTGTCCAAGATCACACAGCCAGCAAGAGATGGAACTGGGATTTAAATCCAGGCCTGATTCCAGTGTTCAGGCTTTTAACCAACAAACTGTACTCCTGTGTGAAAGTGTGGCAGGGTGGATCAGTATACTTGGGGATCTATGAGCAGTTTTGCCTTAATGGAATGTGTAGTGAAAGACTGGGAATGACTGGAGATGTCGGCGGAATCTAGACCATGAGGCACCTGTGTGCTGTTTACATTTTAGTTCTTTAGCCTTGGTGAAAACATTCTTTTTTGACACAGGGTCTCTCTTTGTTGCTCAGGCTGGACTGTGGTGGCATGACCAGGGCCGACTGCAACCTTGACCTATTGGGCTCAAGCAATCCTCCCACCTCAGCCCACCCTCCCCATGTACTGTGAGACCACAGCCACATACTGTCACACCCGGCTAATTTGTTTTGGTATTTTAAAACATTTTTATTTTTATATACATATTTTATTTTATTTTTGAGACGGAGTTTCACTCTTGTTGCCCAAGCTGGAGTGCAATGGCGCGATCTCAGCTCACTGCAACCTCCGCCTCCTGGGTTCAAACAATTCTCCTGCCTCAGCCTCCCGAGTAGCTGGGACTACAGGCACGTGCCATCATGCCCAGCTAATTTTAGTATTTTTAGTAGAGACAGGTTTCACCATGTTGACCAGGATGGTCTCAATCTCTTGACCTTGTGATTCACCCGCCTCGGCCTCCTACAGTGTTCGAATCACAGGCATGAGCCACCATGCCCGGCCCTGTTTTGGTATTTTTAGTAGAGACAGTGTTTCACCATGTTACCCAGGCTGGTCTTGAGTTCCTGGGCTCAAGTGATCAGCCTCCCAAAGTGCTGGGATTACAAGTGTGAACCACCGAACCCGGCTGGTTGAAAGATTTTTTTTTTTTTTTTTTTTTTGAGACGGAGTTTTGCTCTTGTTACCCAGGCTGGAGTGCAATGGCGCGATCTCGGCTCACCGCAACCTCCGCCTCCTGGGTTCAGGCGATTCTACTGCCTCAGCCTCCTG